CTTGGGTAAAGTAACATTCAGTAGACTCCATGCATGTTGTTTTCTATCACCATCTTTGGATGTAATTTTGGGGAGCAGGAGGGCTGCAATACACACACAGAGACACATACATATATTTATAATTTGTTAAGAGGGAGTTATTATTAAACATCTAAGTTGACACTATTTTATGGTTGGTTCTTCTGGGTCTGATCCTAGACAAGTGAGTTAACAACATCTTTGATCCTCTTTAGCTTTCTACTTTTGTAAAATAAACGGGTTGGACCAAATAAGTGGGGTTTTTGTTTGTTTGTTTATTTGTTTAGCTTTTGGCAGTTTTTTTTTTTTTTTTTTTTTTTGCCCATGCTACGATATTCATAGAAGTCATTGAGTACCTAGTAAGGCAAACCAGGACCAGCTGTAGCTCCTCCCTTGTACTTTAACGACAGTAATTCTGTTTTGTTTTATATGTGAATCATCCCAAGTAAGACTTCCAATTTCTGATGCCTTTTCACCTATTTATTAGTAGTAGGGGTCATTGTATTCTATTTTTGGCTTCATAGTGAGTGACAGCTTGTACAAACAACACAGATACTGGAATAATCAGTCTTCTTCAAATTCTATAGTAGCATGAACTGTAAAGTATTAATCATGTATTTATTGCCTATTTTCTACATGTGAATCAGTTAAGCCTATTCTTAATTTTCTTGCTTTGTCAGCTTCAAAGCAGGAAATTACACCATTGCCCAAAATCTCCAGCATTCTGTTGATTTTGTTTGGGAGGTATAAATCTAGTAAAGCATAGACAGAGGCCTGTTGCCAAATTGATAGCTGTATTTGTCTGCATAGATTGTATTTTCACAGCTGTCAGGTGAGATGGTTGCTTCCTATATAAAGTGGTTCTAGAATCATGCATGTGCTTGGGATTTTAATTGATCAGATTTTTTAGCACTTCCTACTTAAAGAGCTTCAAACTCTAGGGAATATAATGTATGCCATTCTGAAAGGTGGTATTTCAGCTTTTGTATCTTTGGGGATAACATGTTGTAAATGAAATTGGTGTTTTAAATAGAGCTCCTGGGGAAGTTTTTGCCAACAGTCCTTTTGATATCCCATGTGCTCTATTGTAATAAGAAAGCAGAATAAATAAACTAAACTAGGTGGTCAGGATTCTGTTAGGATGAAAACAAGTATAATTTCCTTTATAATGATGAAAAGCAAACAAAACCCTGCACAAATAGTTTTAATCAATGTTTAAAGACTCGTTTCCCAGACTCTTGTGTGTTTGGCAGATAGTCTTGGGTGGGGTGGAAATGGAGTGGAAAAACAAACAATTGCTGTGGAGATAATAAAAATTACTGGGCAAAAAGAAAAAACGGTATTTGAAATACTTTTTTTTTTTTTTTTTGAGACAGAGTCTTGCTCTGTTGCCCAGGCCGGAGTGCAGTGGCATGATCTTGGCTCACTGCCACCTCTGCCTCCCAGGTTCAAGCGATTCTCCTGCCTCAGCCTCCTGGCTCATGGTTGACATGAGTTACCTCTTCCAGCATTTTTCATTTGTATTTTGAGAAAAACAAATTAAAGTGGTATTGACAACTGCCGTGATCATTTTTCGTTTAGGCTAATTGTCCCAGGAAAGGGATTCTTATATTGTATTCATTTTTTTTTGTTTTAATACTTTAATAGTGAATATTTATAGCTATAGGAATTTGATACTTTTAATTAAAAAATTTAAAACTAGGTTCAAATGAAAGAAAAAAATTCTCATAAACTTTAAAAGTGGAACCATTTGTTTAGGGTATTGGAAATCAATTCTCCATATTTTACACTACGAAATTAGCTTCAGATAACCCTTTTCTCCATTTTGTGTTCATGTTGTTTTCACTTTATAAACAGTAAAACTCCATCTCCTTGCGTGAAGTTATTTTAGGGGGAAGAAAAAGTGCAATACACAGATTCATTATCTTGTAATGGCTCATTTTAGTTTTGCATTGAATCAATCTTTGAGACAATTACTGTAACTTGATTTTTTCCTTCCCTCCACTGGTAATAAAAGAGACATTTTATTTCAGGGAAATATGAATTAAAATAGTCTCGCTTCATAAGCATGCTCAGAGAAGAGATTTTTAAATCTTGTTTTAAAAATAGTGGCATCATGTTCATGAACTTCAAGTTTTCTTTGTTCCTTTTCTTCTTTTCCTTTCTCTGTGAAACAGTAGGATTAATAGGAAGCATATCCAAAATTCCCTCTCGGAAGAAATTTAGATAGGGATATAAATATATTTTATGCATTCCTACTAAGCATTTCCAAATAAGCTTTTAGAGTTTCTTAAGTAATCTTTGATTTTATAGGAAGAAAAAGGGTCAAAGTTTGCTTTCTTCACACACTTCAGTAAACAAATCCCTCTTGTATTAATGAAGAAATTGACTAAACCTACCAATTATCTCACTATTATAAAACGTGTCTTGAAAATTTATTAGATGCAGGCCAAACCATTAAACTCAGACCTTGGCTTGGAGAAGCTTCCATCTAATTGGGATATATCTCAATTTATTGGAGATAATGAAGTAGAAACTAAATTATTATTAATTTTAGACACACAAAAGTCGTTTCACTTCTGTAAAATGGAAGAAGTAACATGAATCTACCTGACCAATGAATGTTGGATAACCAGTTATTGGAGTGCTTTGTGGAGGCAAAGTAATACTACAAATAACAATAAAGTTTCACCTTTACTTGTGTATTTTTATGTCACTTTTGCTGAAGAAAAGTGCCTTGACATTTTTGCTAATAAAGTTAACTTTTTTGTTATTTTTTAGAGAATAGAAATAGATAAAATAGACAAATTTGATGGATTCATTGGAAAAATCTTTATTGGATTTATAGTTATCAGAACTTTTTTGAATATGATTATGCAGCCTAAATTAAGATTCTATTACATGGATAGTAATACACATGGAATTACCTTAAAAATGATTGTGTACTATGTAGAGTGTCAAAATTTTGTAAAATAGTTCTACAGTGAAGTTAAAATGTTACTGGATACGCTTATGTAAAATACATGAACACACATTGGACATAAACTAACTTGATGATTGGCCAGAACTGGAATTCCAATTCCTACACCTACCCATCCATCCACATCTATTGGACAAGTGCCTGGTTAAACAGATGGGCCTTGGGCTGTGCTCTCAAAACAGGCAACCTCCACCTTTATTGAGCAAAACATTGGATGAAAATAGACTATATTGTCTTACTGTGCTACTGAGCATGGTAATTTAAGTGAAGAGCTCCTATTTATTATTGTTGTTGGTTGTTAAAAATACCTTTTTCCTTATGAATGAATATGTGAAAATTGGAGGACAACAGATGGAGTCCCAGGGAACTGGAAAACCTATAGATAGGGAGGTAATTCTCAGTCAAATATGAAAATAAAAAATCAGCAGGAGTGTGAAATTTCATGTGGTTTTATAAATGCATGTAGCTAAGATTTTAGAAAATGTTTGGTTGATCATGAAATTTCTCTTTTCCACTAACGGATATGAGACCAAGTAGAATTCTTGATGTCTGTCCTCATGCCTCTTCAATAAGTTACCACTTCAAAAGCTACAAAGCTGGATTCAGGGCAGGACCTTAAATTCTGGCTACTGTCTGTGTAAATATCACATACTTACATGTGGTAAAGTCAGAGGGACTTGCAGACCTGAGTGATAGGGTGGCAGATGACTTTATGACATCAGAAGTGAGTTTTGTTTATGGTTGATTAATGATATTGCTACTTGGGACATGTTTGTGACAAAAGTACTGAGGGCAATTAGCAAGAGCAACAATTAGATAGTCCTATACTTGGAAGATTATATGAGACTAAATTTGACACTCTTAATATTGACATATTGAAAATAGCATTTGGTCTCCATGCATTTTCATGATATTCTCTTCAGTGTAACAATAATCACTAAGCTATCACATATCTAACCTCATAGAACTGTGAATATGGGCATTTGTTCTTCAAATGATCCATTATTTATTGATTGAATCATTAACAATGATATTTGCACCTCTTAAATTATGAAATGGGTGGTCTGTGGGCAGCATGCTAAAATTCAAGTATAAGACTTTCTACTCCTTTTTCATAATTTTTGTTTAAGTCTTTTGGTAACTCAGTTTTCACAAAGAAGGGGAGTTTGCTTGCTACCTACTTTCCTTGTATTACTGCTGGGCTGTTTTTTGGTGGCAAGAAATAATTCCTGTGATACTTAAGAACTCTATGGAATAAAGCTCAGTGTAGTGTATATTGAATTATGTTTTCTGGTTATTATATTTGGATAAATTTAGGCATAAGATTGTTTAATACTTCAGCAGAAACCTGCAATGGAACTTCCTAAAAATTTGACCTTGTGAAAGAAATCCAAATGGAATTATTTTATACTTAATTTAGCGCCTATAAATGTGTGTGCTGGGCTAATAAATAAATAGGTAAGAAATACCACAGCACTGTTTAACGTTTATTTCTTTCCTCAAAATAAAAAAGGTAATCAAAAAAGTAATAAATTGTTACTATTTAAGAGTTATTTCTTACTGCAAAATGTTTTGTGATAGCTTTGTTTCATTATGTTTAACTTAATTAACATAATACTTTTTTGTTACATTGTCCTTTGAAATCATTAAAATTGGTTAAATAATATTGTTCTATTCTACTTGATAAAATGAAGAGCTCAGAAGATTAATTTAGATACAGAACTGAGAATAAAACAGTCTCAATATGTGTTTAATTTCATTAGAAAGAAATATATTATAAAAATAGCCATTTGAAGAGAAAAAGATAAAAATAGTGAAATATTTTAATTTTCAAACTCATAAAATAGTAATATAAGCTGTCTTTAAATGAAAGTAAATATTTTATGTTTCTGTATGTATATGAGACATATGATCACTATCAGATTTATCTTGAATTACTCTGATATACTATATTTCTTATACATGTTATTTAATGTCTTTTGTTATGTTTTGTTTTAAACAGCAAATGCCAGTCTTCTTGGAGGAGGAGGTGGTAAGTCCTGAACATCACTTAACTTACAATACATTTTTATTGCTATACCAACTACAAGATGTTTAGTAACTTCTGTGACACTTCAAAGAAAATTTTGCTATAGTCATCAACCACAAAAATGTTAATCTTCCAAAAATAATTTATAACATGAATACCTTGGTTTGGTTAAATGTTATTTTAATTGACTTCAAGATATACACAGTACTCTTTTCTTCTTGTCAAACTTTGCATTTCTACTTTTGGCATAAGGTTTAACAGCTATAAGCTATATGAACACACATGTATGACATGTGTGTACATAGTTACAGAGTATTACATATTACAGAGTTATTTTTAATATGAATTCTAAACAATAGTACATTTAGAGGCTGTGGTTTCTTTTTCCACTATAATGACTTTCTTTTGCTTTTCATGACTTTGTAGCCTGAGAGCTTAATATATCAGCCACTTACTTTGAAAAATAAAAAAGAAATTACTGTTGACACTCTGCTTTTTCTTTCTGCTCAGTTAGAGGATAAAGAGAAGGAGATCAAAGTGAGCTGAGGGAGACAGAGATTCCTGTACTGGGAATTTTTTTGATACTAAAATCTTGTAACTATTTGTATTTTTATTTCTAGGTTAGGAAGATGAAAGCTTTCATAGTCCCAGTATATATAATATAGTAGGAGAGAAAAAAGTATACAATTAGAACAGAGTCCTTTTCATATAAGGCCCAGATGGACATAACTAGGTTTGTTTTCTCTTTCTCTGTCACTCTCTTTCTCCCTTCCTCTCTTGCTCTTTCTTTTTTCTTACACACAGTTGAAATAGATAGATTGTGCAGAGCCTTAGGCTTTCATCAGGAGGTTTCATTGTAATTTTTATTTGGAAATTAAACATTTAACCTTTGTTTCTCTGTAAGAATAATTGGTTTTTTAAAAACAGAATCTTGGACATAAGAAAAATAGATAAGTGTTTGAACTAGAAAATGCTCTTCATATTATCACATGTCAATGCATGTTCTATGCCAGAGTATCATGAAAAGAGTATGGGATTTGAAATTGGACTTACTGTGTGGAGACCATGAAAGCGTTAGTAAATATCTCCAAGCCTCAGTTACCTCATCTTTAAAGTGTGAGGACAGTATTAACTATCTAAAGTGTTTATTGTGAGAATTAAACAAAAATATCTGCTAAGTAACTAAGTCATGGAATAGTGCAGGATTCATAAATGTCTATTTCTTTTCTTCTTTCCTAAGTTATTTTAGAAAATATGAATCTGTAGGATGTTTCATTGTACTCATTATTGTATTTGGGGGGAATTAGAAGGGAAATTTTTCCTTAGGAGTTGAATTCCCAGTAATTTTTTCTTTCTGTCTCTTATAATAGGTGAAGAAAACATTATTAAGATAAATTGTCCATAGTGCTGATTTCCTTACAAGATCTATTAGTATTTTAAGAAACCTCACGAATACTGTTACTACCATAGAGGAAAGTTAAAATTGAGTCTATGTAAACACATTCATCAAGTTAAAACAACAAATTAGGTAGACGATTCAGTTATTGCTTTTGAATATTTAAAAAAATTGACTTGACTAATTATTAGCCACTATAACAGAAAAAGTAAAAAACATTAAAGTCCAAAGTAACAGTAGTTTAAAAGAGATAGAAATGTATTTCTGTCTCATGTAAAGGTAGTCTAGATACAGGCTGTAATGGTTGTATGGTGATTCCGTGGTGTCATCAGAGACTCAGCTCTTACTTTTCTGTTCTTTCCTAGTGCATGGCTTTCATACTAAGATGACCTCAGGGTACAGGATGGCTCCTGGAGCTCTAGCCATCATAAATATGGGTACAGGTCAGAAGAAGTAGGAAAGGCAAAACATGAAAAAAAGTGAGCTCCCAAACATGAGTCAGTTTTCTTTAAGCAGAATCCCACATTATCTTTGAATCTGGACAGTATTCATTCCTAGCATGTAGTCTTTTATTCCAAGAAGCAATACACTCATTGGGAAAAATTACTGTTCCGTTTACTAAGGAGGAAGGGGACAGTGGAGGTTGAGGAAAGCAGCCTAATATACCTGCCATGGTGGTTACCTCTATATTGTCAAACTGCTTTCTTTAAATATATGTATGTAATGTTGGTGTGTATAGAACTGACTCTAGTGATTTGGCTTGTATTTTCTTATGATTCCTCTCTCCTCTGTGAGAAGATTTATGAATGTCTAGCAATGGTAAGACATTCAGGAATAGGCCAGTTTTCTATTTAGCTAAAGTCTTTATTTTAATGTCTTCCTCTAGATGGTTGATTTTGCTCAATTTGTCATCATTTATAATTTTTTGAATAATAAAATTAGCAACTCAGCATCATCATAAAGATAAATTACAAGTATTTAAGATGGTTGTAATTTCTTTCATTAAAGTAGGTCATTGACAGGTTTAAATTTATTTATGCACTTCTGGAGATGTCAAGATTGCTCTAAAACATGCGTCTGATTTTTGGAAAGCTGCATTTAAAAATTAAATTTAAGGAATATTTTTAGCCTTCTCTGAGCTGATTTTTGACCTTCTGATTCTATGACAAATCTTTTTAATCCTCTCAGTGATATTTGTAAAGTAACAGCTAGTAATCATCTAATAAGAAGCAATTGAATTGATGTAATTCTCTTGGATTTAATCAACAAGTCCTTTTTTCAACATGAGTTAATATCCCTTCAAAGGTTCCTCAAGAGAATAATTTTTTAATTGACTAAACAGTTTTATCAAGAAAATTGGACACTACATACAAAAATAATAATGGGACCTAAGTCCCTTTCTTTAGATCCTCAGGAGAACTTTCCCCATATTCTGTATGAGTAGTACCTGATTGTGAAATGTAGACAAAATTATTGTATGCAGAATTGTATTGGCCATAAAATCTTAGCATTTTGTTGTTCTTTTTTGAGTGCTTACCACCGATGAGACAGATCCCCTGAAAGACTTAAAAAATGTTCACGTATCATCCTCTCAGTGCTGATTTTAAAGTGAGAGATTTACTTTACATTGATGTGAATTTTCATCTTTGAGCTAGATATCAATCTTTCTATGAATGTATTGCCACTGACTACAGTTCATTGTAATGAGCATAGGTGATGTGATTACTTCTACTCAGTCATTTCAGTTAAAATTTGGTAACTTTTACCAATTTTACTAATTTGTTTGGTAAAATTGATCATTTTTGTTTATATATAGATAAGTTGAAGGCAGAGATGGATATGTACTAATTTCTTAATTGAATATATAGCTGGTCTATAGTGACTGAATTATACTTTTCAGGAAACATTTACATTAGTGTTAAAAATCTTTTAAGTTCTGTTAATTTTTTGACAAACTTTCCATTATTATTACCAACAGTATCCTGTATATTATTTTACCTGTTGTTATTTTAATGGTTGAGAGAAACTTCTTCAAGGTTATATAGCTTATAGGGCAAGGTTGGAATGAGAAGACAGTGTTCTCAACTGCCACTCCAGGGCTGCTTGCCCTGGCACTGTGGTTTTTAATATGCTTCTGCTCTCCAGGTTTGCTTTTCTATGCACAGATGGGTAGCTCTGTTTATACCAGGAAAAATAAGTGAGAGGACAGGAAAACATACAGTTAAGATATGAATGTTGCATTCCTTGGCTTATTTTCACAAGTCTCAAGATCTATTGATAGCTTGAAAGTCAATACAATGGCACTGTCTTACAGTACTCTTGGATTGCTTCTCAGTTTCATATCCCTTTTTTGTGCATTTGAGATTCAGTCTTAGAAGACATTGCATTTTAGATACATGTTCACCCATCTGTAATAAGAATGTTGTACATGCACAAGGTCCTGTGATGCTGGTACCTTTGGAATATATAGTAAAATATAAATCATTGTAGCCAGTCTTAAATTATATAAAGAAGTAGCATTAGAAAGAAAAATTAGAACTAAGGAGCTAATTCCTCACTTCCTTTTGGATCATTATATAATAGACAGGAACAAAATTTACAGCCTCTTACTTTAGATATCTTTTCTTTTTCATTGATGTAATAATTTTAACACAAAACTAGAACCTGCTGATAGAACCCAAGCAGGATATTGTTTATGGGATGTACTTCCTCCTCCAGTCTGTCAAAGTTCTTGAGGGATAATGCTAGACATTTAAAATGACGGTTCCTGACAGAGTGGTAACTTATTGTCTTTTGTACACATAGCTTTATGGCTGCCATTTTAATCATATATACATACACATAAATAAAAAATATACACATATATTCGCATCAATGCTGTAATTCGATACCTTATTCCTGCGTTGATTCTGTGGCAGGTTAATAGATAAGTACTGTTGTCTAATAAGCAAGTGCTGTTACCTATGCAGTCAGCCCCAGCTGCAATGCATGCAAAGCCATTTGCCCGTGAGAACAGAGCAGACACTGTGAGCCCTCCCACCTCTGATGGCTTCCTGCTTTCCCTCTGCCCCTTAGAGTAGGCCCAAAGATGGACAAGGTTCAGTACCTTGCGTTAGTAGCTGCTCCTCTAATCTCCCTCATTTCTGATTTGGACAGTTCTCCTTGAAGAGAGGATTCATAATGCTTGTCTGTTATTAATGTCCCTTCATACAATTAGGCGGTTTGTGTGGCGTACCAAAATGCATGTTGAAAAAGAATAAAATTATAACCTGGGTGATAGGTGCACCAAAATCTCAGACTTTGCCGTTACACAATTCATCCTTGTAACCATAAAACACTTGTACCCCAAAAGCTATTGAAATAAAAAAAAGAAAAAAAAAGAAGAGTGAAATCATAAACCAAGTGCTGTTATATCATAGATAGTATTTGTGCATCTCCACACACCCATAATCTGTTTCTAAACACGAACACACATATGTGCACACATTCATTCAGCAAAGATTAATTGAGTTACTATTGTTTGTCCGTATTGATTGGTCAATAAACACAGCCTTTTCCCTGTGGCCAATCATGATCCCTGTTCAGCTGAATTATTAGAGCAATTATA